CTTAGCCTAGAAGATAAGGAAGGGTAGGATTGGCCAGCCTATTACATTAATACCTTAGATTACTATCACCTACTTCTAGTTGCCCTACTAAACGCTCTTTGGCCTCCCTTAACGTTTAGAGGCTATAACTACTACCCTGGTTAATATTATACTAATTATAAAGCCAGATTCATTAAAATTATAGGTGTCTTTATCTAGAATCCTATATTTGGCCTTTGTGTTCTCTATAAATAAGAACTAGTCCTAGATAACTATAGGGTCTTTATAGAGAGCTCTCTTATAGTTATACTTTTAATTAAACTTAACTTTAAGCTCTGGCTGGCGCTTTATGAAGGTTATAGGCTAGTTTTAGCTAACTAGGTCCTAGTGTTGCATAGCTAGTAGAGAATTGGCCATATCTCTAATACCATTAAGGTAGGGGGGAAATCTTTATATATTTAGCTTAAGTATATACTTAACTATCACCTCCTCTTCTATCTTAAGTAGTTTTATTAAATTGGGTGTATAGTCGCATTAAGAGGTAATTCTAGTATATCTTCTATTTAGGGAGTATTAAGAGACGCTATAGATGGCTATAGTATATTACTAGAATAGTATTATATCTTATTTAAGAGCTTAAAGCGTGAGCTATATTCTAGTTTCTTTTAAGGTAGGTAGCTGTTAAGGTAGTTAAGATATTATGGCTACTATTAGCTACTATTAGTAGTTAATAGGGTCTTGGTATAGTGGCCAGCTCGCCCATATAGTAAGCTCGCCCGTAAGGTACGTTATATAATATTTAGGCTATAGACTAATAACACGGTCTAATATATATTAATCTTACCTATAGTAATTTATATAGCTGGTCTATTATATACTATATTTGGTATTAATAATCACTTATAAGATAATAATTCTCAAATATCTTATTATAGTAACCTTAGAGACTACCTAATAAGCATGGATATACTACTAGTAGTAGTATATCTTAGAGATATCACGCGCTGGCAGCTAGCTAATAGATTATTAGATAAGTGGCCCGTCTACTAGCTAATTAGTTAAAGCATAGTGCTAGCCACCCTTAGTAAGGGCGTGTAATGAAGCGAGAAGATAGATCTACGCTATATAGGGGGGGGAGGACCTTTTCTCCTTATCTAACGTCTTATACCTATATATAGATATTAAACATAGTATATTAATCTAGCCTACCTAGGCCTTAGACATCTTACTCATTACTCTCGTGATATATCTAAAATATTTAATGTGTTAATGTTAGATAGCGCATAGATATCCATAGTAAACTATAGTAGAGTAGCTAGATAAGCCAAGGGAGGTAATTAACCTACTAAGGAATACCATATTATTATTT